AGAGAGAGAGAGAGAGAGAGAGAGAGAGAGAGAGAGATACATACACATAGACACACACATGCACACATACCACACATCACACAAACACATACACATAAGTGAAAAAAATAAAATGAATCTCTTAAAGGGAAGAAAGGAGGGGGCTGGAGCGAGAACTCGGCAGTTAAGAGCTCTCACTGCTCTTGCTTGCTCCTAACACTGACACGGAAGCTCACAAACATCTGTACCCTCAGTTCCAGGGGACGTGACACCCTCTTTGGGCCTCCGTGCTAAGGTGCATGTGCTGCACATAAACTCATGATGATTCACACACATACAAATAAACAGATTTTTAAGAAAGAAAAAGAAAGCTCTTTTCCCATTTCTTCATGAGAAAGAGCCAGCCCAATTTGTGGAGCTAGAGGGTGTGATGGGAGGAAGCACTAAGTTTAGGCAGAAGCAAGGAAAATCAGCTTCCACTTACCAAGTGTTTACCACCTGCCTGGGGCACCCTACCAACAGGAATGCTCTGTGCGCCCCCCCCACCCCCAACCCCCGCAAGCCTGAAGATACTATTTTAGCCTCATTTTCCAGATTAGGAAAATGTGGCTGAGAGATTAAATCCTGTGCCTAGAGGCGCAGATGGCAAGGAGATGGTTGGGATGTTAAAACATAGTCTCCTGCTGAGGCTGCATTCTAACCGTCGGCCCTTGCTCTCCCCAAAATGTCTGACTGGGGAGAGGAGAGAGAAAAGAATGAGGGAAGGACAGTCAGGATGGTATGGACGTGGAGGTTAGACTTGTCCTCAGTGTAACCTTGGGCAGCGGTCACCCAGCACAGCTTTGGGGCACCACTGTGTGGTCACTATCTGGGCCAGTCACCTTCTCCTCCCTCCCTCCCTTGCAGAGGGAAACATCCAGTACTCACATCGTTCATTCTTTGTGTGCTGGTGAATGCTCTACCATACTCACCATTGGCTCCTCAGCCATGCCAGTGGCAATCTTGCCACCTCCACCTTCAGGCTGTTGTGCTGAGGAGGCCACACTGTAAACCTACCACCCATGTTCTCCAAGTAGGAAAGAGGTTGAGACTCCCTCTAGTCAGACTTGTTAGAGGCCTTCCCACAGCATCTCTTCAATCAAAGCCAGTAAGGTAAGTGGAGCAGAGAATCAGAGGCAGAAAACAGAGGCAGGAACTGAGCTAAAAATGTACCAGTAGATGTCAGGGAGCCAGGGACAGTGGCTGGCAGATGGCCACAGACATCCAGGATGATGGATCAAGCCTATCCTGTAGCAGACAGCTGTGACCTCTCCATCCTCCAAAGAAAAAGTTGTCCTCAATTAACTACACCATAAATGTGAGAAGACCCAACCTTGAGCTCACTCTTGAGTCTGTGAAGCCTTCCAGGGCACTGGCAGAAAGGGACACTCCAAGAGTGTAGCAGAGGGAACAAGTCCAACTCCAAATATTTCATTTACACAAAACAAATACAAAAAGTACAATTTATCAAAGGAATGTTTGGTTGAGCATAGTAACACACACCTTTAACCCCAGCACTGGGGAGGCAGAAGACATTTGGGTCTCTGTGAGTTTGAGGCCATCCTGGTCTACATAGTATGTTTCAGGCCAGCCAGAGCTATACAGTGAGACCCTGTTTGGGGAGGAAAAAAATATTTTCAGAAAATGGAATTACAATTTGTTGTCAGAGGTATATTGCTCTTTGTAAGTCTTCTAGACAAAGTCATGTGCTCATCTGAGACATGAGATGTTCAGAATGGGTGGGGGAGCTTCCTGTGGTGTGTCAGAGACATGCAGCTAGGCCAGTGTGAGTCACAGATCCAGAGTACTGGATGCCCTCTCCTTCTGCTGCTCCCACCCAGAATACACAGCGTAGAAGAAAGCTGCTCCATGATGCTCATACAATCTCTGGGACCTGTGTGCTAACCCACATGCCAAATGAGGATTTGGGGTGTGCTTAAATGAAAGATCTGGAGATGGAGAGAATGTGGTAGAATATCTGGGTGGTGCCATCCAAGTGGAAATATGAACAAGAGAATGAGGGACAAAATGAGATGGTAATGTAACAACAGAAGCAGAGAGTTCAAGCTACAGTCCTGCCCTTGATGCATGAGGAACCACAAGCCAAGCCCGGCAGGCAGCCTCTAGATGCAGGAAAAGAAAAGAAGATGTATTCTTCTATGGGAGCTGAAAGAAATGCATTCTGCCAACACAAGTTGATGTTGAGACCCACTTCAGACTCTGGCTGCCAGAACTGAAAAATCAGTGAGTGTTGTGGGGCGGGACCTCACACCTAAAATCTCAGCACTCGGGAGGTAGAGTCAGGAGGACTTTGGGTCTATAAATAAAAGAAGAGGCATTGGCTTTTGCCCGTAGTCTTTTGGCAATAAGAAATTAACATGGTAGAAAGGATATTGTCCCATTGTTCGTACTGAGTAGATTGGATTCACAAGAAAATAGTTTATTCCCCACCAGCAACAGAGAGTCCTGAACCCACTGTCTTCTTATATTAGACCAGGCCTTAAGTAACAAACCCATCACCAAATACTAAAAGGAAAAAAAAAAACTCTATTATGAAAAAAGTGTATGTTTTAATGTACAAAATTACACAAAGTATACATTTCACTAACATAGAAAAATACGTCTGGGTAACAAGAGAATATCCTGCTCTAATTTACACAAGACTGAATTGTCATTAGAAATCCTGATGGGGCAACTTAGCCTGAGTCACACAGGTCTGAGTGGTGATGGGAAGGGCTGACAAAGAGCAATTACTCTGTTCACCACACTGCAGGCAGGGTGCTTTTGGGACAGCCACTGCCAATCACTCAGTGAGGGTCCTGCTGGATAACACCCAACAGGACAGGGCTCTATGTCACTGGACCACACCCCTGTGGACCAGAGTGGCTCACTGGTCGAGGGACATGATGGGCCTGCCAAAATTTTGACCTTGGGTTTGGTAAGCTGGCTATGGAAGAGTCCTTTTAGATTCCAGCAGTGGGCTGTAAGGTTATTGTGTGCCTGCGACCTAGTTGGAATGTGCACAATCTCCCAAGTGCTACTGCGCTTCACAGCTGTTCTGTGATTTCTGCTCCCTCCCAGTTCTCGCCCCAAAGGACTGAGAAGGCCAGGGGCTCTCTTCGTCACCCCAGCCAATGATTCCTACCTGCTTCTCTCATGGGCCATGAAAAGCTGACTGGGAAAAACCTAAGCTTTAGTTCCCAGGTCAAGGGGGCAGCCTGTGCTCTGGCTTGCTCAAGGTGTCTCCAGATAGCTCGCCTTCAGGGGAGTGACAGAAGTCCCTGGCATCCATCAACATTCTTTGAGTGTTTTCAGAAACATGCACTAACCCTCACACCCTCACACTGTTGCCCTGGAGAGGCTGAGAGAGCCAGTCTGAGCTTGCACAGCTGGTTGGTGGCCCTGCCAGAGTTCAAGCCCAGGGTGTGCATCTGGCCCCTCATTTACCTTCCTACCTCTGCTGGCCTTGTGCTTGCCCCAGTGAAGACTCTAAGTGAGAATTATACTTGACCTAGCTTCCACTTCCCCCACCACCTCCAAAGTCATGTTTACAAACACTGCATTGTATTACTTCAGGCAGAAATGAAAACAATACAGAATTGAAATCAAGTTTTCAGCCATGTTTGACAATCTCATTCATTCTTCGCTTCCCTTTTGCTCAGCACATAAAGACACCATCAGGCCACCCTTTGTCATAGAAGCAACCACCAAAATAAAAAAAAAATTAAAAAAACAACTGTGCTTTTGAGGAAAGCCTTATTCTTGTGACTGGGTTCAGTCTTTCCATGATGCCAGGGTCAGATTGCGGGGCGTCCAGGATTTATGAAATCAGAGCATGAGTGAAGATCAGATGAAACAAAGAAAATTCTGCCCTTCAATCTCACAGTGCACTGACTTAGTCCAAACAGCCTTGGGTTCAAGGTATGAATGAACTTTTTCATTACATGGACAAGGAAGCTAAATATGTCATCAAACTCCTGGGATTTCCCCCTCTCTGCCTCTATAAGGCACCAGAGAATCTCAACGTACACCGATCAGGGGTACACTTGGCCAGTGGCACCAATTCAGGAGAGAAATCCACTCTGTTTATTGAGCAATTGGTAGATTTGCCTCTCACGATACTTCTAGCCCAGAAGAATTCAGGATGCAAAGAAGTTGCCAGAGGTACATTTCAACCCCTGGATTTTCAGATAGTTCTGCAGCGATTGGCTACCAAGACCTCATCATCAGGGCTTGTCACAGGGAAGTGAAGGCCATCTTTTGCTGTGTGTTCTGGCTTCAGAAGGAGCCTCAGCAGTCAAGTTACCAAACTGCCTTGTGGTCACAAATATTCCAAAGATGGGAACTTCCTACCTGCACAGTTCTTTCCCAGTGGAGAGTAAAAATCAATACAATAGAGCCCAGGGGAAGCCCACAGCGTCATCTGGGAACTTAGTGCAGGGAAGGACAGGGGGAAGAGACTTTGGGTCCACTGTCTGAAAGTGGATAGTTATCTCCCCAGCTGCCTCTCCCAGTTTCACCTTCTAGACCCTCCACTTGGAATCAAACACAAGCCATGAATCTCTTTCAAGCAGCTCAGAGCTTATAGGAGAAAAAGCTCCTGAAATGACACACTTCACTCAACTATCTGCTGAGCAGAGGGAGTACAGGGCACTCTTGTGTGAGACCTGGGTCCTCATCCTCTGCAGTGATGGGGAACCAGACTCACAGATGAATCTCATCATGAAATGGCTCGTGAACATTTTGATAAGACAGTTTCACATAACTCAAGCTAGCCTTGAACTCTAGATCCTCCTATCTCCATCTCCCCAGTGCTAGGTGCAAGGATTACAGCATGTAACAACACACACTGCTCAACTCGTGGTTTCTTTTGCTTTGTTTTTGAGTACCTGTGTTCCTCAGGCTGGCCTCAAACTTGCTATGTAGCAGAAGGTAAGCTGAACTTCTGGTCCTCCTGCCCCCACCCCCACCCCAAATGCTGGGATCACAGAAATTCACCAGCACAACCAGTGTATATGATGCTGGGGATGGGACCCAGGGCCTCACACATGCTTGCCAAGCACTCTACCAGCTGAGCTACATCTTCAACATCATGATTCATGAACTTCTGATCAGTTCTGCTGATCTGAACACTAGGGAGGTAGGGAGAGGCCAATTCAAACCTCAGTCATGCAAGACCAGCCCAAAAGTAAGAGTTCCAAGCTATTTCAGGACTCTGGACTTCCCAAGGAGGATCCCACACATGAACTCCACAGAAAAGGAGGACTCGAACTCAGACTCAGTGTTAAATGATGCCATTCACATTGAAAACCACAAGAATATCAATTGCATCTTCGATCAGAAGCAGCTGCACTCTGGCACTGCTGGACAGTAGTCCACAAGAGATCAGAACCAGGTTCAGTCCCATCTGGGGTCCCTTTGACAATAGTGTTCCACTTTAAGTAGTCTGGGCTTCAGGAGGAAGGGTGTTTATAGTGAGTCCTATTCTTTCTCTGGCTTCCACGGTGGCTGTATCTGGGTCTACCATCTCAATCCCTACACCGCTGACCTGCTGGGAAAGGACAAGGACATGACCACCCTGAGCCTGCCACCCATTTCAGGCTGCAGAGCTATGCGTCTCGGCTGCTGCCACACCTCCAGCGTACCTATTTTAAGCATACTGCCTCGCAGTTCAGGGGAAAACGTTGCCATGCCAACTCTCTGGCTGTTGTTAGTCATAATCTATGAATGTGTAGTACAGCCATCTGACAGGCAATCCTTCTCAGTCCAGGGACATTTTCCAAATCATCTCCAGGCAGACAGATCATGCTTACAACGCACACAGTAGGTACACCATAAACGCATACCAAAGTAATGACCTGAACAAAGTGTCTGTACTGTGTTCTAGCCTGCAAAGTGCTTTCCCTACACAGCCTGCTCATCGGTGCCCCCCAGCAGATGCTGGTGTGGGTGGGTGTGTTAGAACCCAGACTGCCAGGTGAGGAAATAGGGTAGCATGTATCTTCAGTGTCAGAGCTTCAGACTGCTCACTGCAGCCTTGTTGCTCTGGCTTTAAATCTCTTTTGTCCCTCCTCTGCCAGGTGGTCTCTGTCTTCTAGCTAGCACATGAAAGTCAAGCAGCACCAATCTGGTCTATTTCCACAGAATGTAAGTTGACAAAAGGCTTTTCCATCTGTGTCCCATTTCATCCAAAGCCCAAAGGGGAAGAGGCTGGGCTCTGCTGGGTCCACGTCTGACCTCAAAGGATCCCCCATGTGTGGTCCAAGGGTACCTCCAGTTAGGGGGTGCCTCATATGTCTCCATCCAGGCTTTGGAAAGGAGGAAGAAATAGCATCATTGTTGAGCGGGAAGAGAGACCAGTGGGACACCAGGACAATCAGACCACCAAGAACTTGGCCCAGGAAGAAAAGAAGCCCCCCATCCAGCCATGGATGTGACTTAAAGGCAAAGCCAGGGAGAAGGACTATTCAAAAGGAGCATGCAGCAGAACCACTGAAGGCTGGCCGCAGTGGACTCCTGCTGCAGGAACCCAGGGTTAGCTTGGCTCTTTGTCAATGCTATTGGTTGGATGAATAAATAATATGTGGAAAGCATTAAGTCACAGCATCAAGTGCCTGTGAGTTCTGGAGTGAACCAACAGGAACCAAAGGCCACCTGTACTGTGCACTCTTCGTTGTGGAAGAAGTATTGGGAGAACTGTATTTTAGAGAGAAGGTCTCATTGTATAGCCCTGGCTGGTCTAGAACTCACTTCAGACTAACAGAGATCCACATGCCTCTACCTCTCAAATGCCAGGATAAAGATATGTGCCACCATGCCTAGCACAGGCTTTGCTGATCTTGAACTATGAGCCAAGATAGAGGATAGAACTTCTAATTCTATCCTCCTGGTACTGAGAAGACTATGCAGATGACCAGGAGGATGCCCATTACAGGCTGGTTTGAAATCAGGCAGGCAAATTCAAAGCCAGGGTGCTCTCTAGACTTCGTGGCTCTTTCTGGGGAAAATGATTGGGAGACTCAGATGTGGCCTCACTGACTGGAAAGCAACAAATATGGAGTACCTGGTATAAGTCAAGTCATTTCCCACAGGCCTCATGGGTCCTGGGAGTAGACCTAGGGTGTGCAAGCCTCCTTTCCGACTTTACAACACAGAGAAGGAGTCCCCGTCCATGCACACCCAGCTTCCAGGCTGGGCCTGAGCTGTTATTAGCACTTTCCAAGTGCACTTCCGTCGCTAAACACTTCAACCTCTGTCTCTGCTCCTCCGGGCTGCCAGAGAAAGGACTCTTCCTCCAATGTTCCCTCACCAGACAGAATTGAGACTCAGGTAGCTCAGGGCTTTGCCCTGGGGGGATGGGCAGTATGGGGTCTAGTATGTCCCAGGGAGCATGGTAGCATCACTCCCTGCCTGGGGCACAGACTGAGGCTCTGACCCTTTCTGATATCTACACTGCCACTAACATGTACAGTGATGAGGGACCTCCACTGAATCACAGTAAGGTGGCGGCCAGCTGGCCTTTGCAGTGGGTTGAGAATAGGCTATTCCCAAGGCACCAGGACAGGTGCTTGCCACTGGAGAACAGCAGAGCAACCTCATACAGCTCCCATGGTGGTCAAGAAGACAAGGGGTTAAGGGAGCGAAGTGGCCAGATCCCACAGTTTCCTGGAAAATTCAAATGTCCTGACTTCCTAGGAAAAGTCTTGGGTTTTAAATGTTACTAATTCCAAATTTATATATGTATATATGTGTATATCAGCATATGTGCGTGCTCATCTTCACAGCACCATCACTCACTACATTCAAAAGGTAGCAGAAATCCAAGCGTCACTGCTGGGTAAGAGGACAAACAATGTTGTCAATACGTAACTTAGCATAACTTAGCATGGACAGACTCTGAACATGTCATATGGAATCCAAGAAGCTAGTCACAGGATACATATTAAATGAGATCCCTAGGGCAATCAGACAAGAGAGACATGTAGTCAGGGGAGAAATGGGGTTGCCGGGGTCTGGGAAAAGAGGAAAAGGAGCTAGTGTGTAACAGACATAGGGTTTCAGTTGAGATGACAGAAGAGCTCTGGAGACTATAAAGGTGATGGCTTCAGAGCACTGAGTGTGTGGATGAGCAGTGACCTGGATGGTTGAGATGGTCAAGACACTAAGTTTATACTCTGTACCTTCCACCTAATCAAAATCACAAGTCACAGAGACGTGTTTTTGACCAGACCCTCCGAGAGTAGCCTGTGTCTGCTGTGAGCTAGAGTCTCTGTTTGAGCACATAGGTTATGACACCTCTCTGCTACTCCTCCCTCACTGACTAAAGCCCCAGGTTCTTCCCAAGCCCAAGATACCCTTGCTGAATCTACCCATCTCCTACCACCTACTTGGACACACAGCAGCAAGGCCAGGAGCTGCTCCTGGAGGATTATCCAAGACTAATCTTGGTTGTCCTGTTTCTCCTGGGGTTGCTTAGATCTCAAATGGTCCTGTTGGGTACCCATCTGCCAGAACGAGCCAGCCCCACCACCTTTGAACTTGGAGGGAAATGCCCCACCCACACAAGGAAGCGAAGTCCCTAGATGAGGACACAGAAACAGGACAAGGCATTGGTATGGGTTGCTTGCTTGGGATGCTGTGACTACCTAGGGGACAAGTGGAGGACACAGTTGTTAGAAGTGGCCTGTGCTTGGATAAGCAGCTCTCTTCCCTCCTCCTGGAAGCAGGGAGGCTACCTGGAGTCTCTCAGTAGCCAGAACCTGATCCTTAGGAGAAACCAGCAACAGGAGCTCATAACCAGGAGGGACTGAGCCATGATGCCAGGATGGACTGCAGACTGGGCACTGCTACAGCTGCCAGTGAACTGGAAAGCCTGTGGGTGCATCCGCTACAAAAATGAGGACCCGAGGCCCCTGGAGGCCAAGGATAGCCTAAGGGTCACCAGCAAGGTAGGACCAGAGTCAGATGTCTGGATCCCCTGTGGAGTTCTCTCCTTACTAGACTAGGGTGCTTGATACTGAGTCTGTTTCCTTTGAGAACCTGATGACAGCTGGGGGTCTCTCCCTAGACAATTCCCGGGACGGGCGAGACCTCCATTCAGCCTGGGACTCTGTAGAACCTCCATGATGTCCAGATCATCACCAAGGTCACCTTACAACCATCCCCTGTGGGCTCTGTCACCCACGGCAGGTGGGAGAGACATCAGTGATACTGTGTGTGCTTCGAGGCAGCAAGTCCTGAATGACGTCAGGGAGGTGAGCAGAAGATAGTTCACAAACACCAAGTTGCTCCAAAACAGGAGTCACCATGCTGAAGTGTCAGGGTGACTTGCCAGCTTTGGTACCATCATACATGACTGTCAGATAGACAGAAAGACTCCCAAGCAGGCTAAGAAGGAGACATTGAAAAAGTGAAGCCATTTGTGCAAATGACACAGCCAGCCTGGGAACCCCAAATCCCAGGATCCTGCCATTGCTCCATGGCAATTCTGAGGGCTTCTGGGGCTCTCACTGGTCTTGTGCAGACAGAAACATCCCCTCACGATGACTGGGGTAGGGGGTGGTGACGCAGCTTGTAACTCAGCTCTTGAAAGGACCATAAATCACAGGGCCACCTCTGTTCCACTGGTCATCTGGGACAGCCATTCATCTTTTCCAGTGTGATGTGCCTGATGGCGCTGTCTTCTTTCCTGCAACAGGGAAAGCAGGAAGATGAGTCTCTGAAGGGAGCAGGTCACCCATGTGGCTACACAGAGAGCTGTCCAGATGGTCCAGCCTTCGGGTTGCTGGGGGCTTACCCTGTATCTCCATGTGCACAGGGCCTACAGGACAACTCTCCAGCTGCTCCCTCTAGGAAAAGAAGCTGCTTAGTGTTTCCAGAGAGCAGCCTCTTTATTGGGGTGTCTGTGAGCCATGAGTGCCATATGGAAGTGTCACGTGACCAAGTCTGGTGCACACAGGCTTTCTAGTGTTCAAGAGGCCTTCACAGAGGCCAGTGGTCCAAAGAAGGTTGGAGAACTGACAGAAGGAAGAGAGAAACAGGGTCTTAGGGATGTGTTTACTGCTTTGTCAGCAGAGTTACCACACCCTAGCCTCTGTCAGGCTCAGAAGTTACAGACTGCCCTGTGGTGGTTCCTGTGAGCTGGAGGGGACCGAGAGAGGTGTGTACATCTCAGCTGTAACTGAAGCAGGACAGTTACTGCCGGTGCCAGGAAGGAACCGTGGAGGTAGCATAGCAGGACTGTGAATGAGAGAAGACTGCCAGGCAGCCTGTACAAGGGTCTTGTGGAGAGAAGCCAGTGTGGTGAGAACAGAGAACAGAGGGGCTATGTGGCACGAGGAGGGAGGGATGTTGGGGGGGCCCCAGCACAGGCCTGGACATGATGAGGATTCAGAAAGGAAGAAAAAATAAGAAAGGTAGCTATGGGGCTGGGGGAATGCCTGAAGACGCTGATATCTGAGCAGGCTATCAGACACCTATAGGATAGGGGTCTTTCTAGGCAGAGAACACACAAGAGGCAGGAGACAGTGCAAACTGGGTTTGGGGAAATGCAGGCTGGAGAGTCAGCTTGCCAAGAGGAGCCCCACGGGGAAGCTGCCAGATTCACTCAAATATCTGGGCAGTGTGACAGCCCAGAGGGAGATCCTTGAAAAGCGACACCCTACCAGAGCACAGCATCCCTGTGCAGTTCCGTGGCCAGACCCACAGCTGCTGTCACCGAGGCCAGCTTTGCTGTGATGCTGAGAGTCTATGGAGCTGTACAGCAGGAGCATGTACTCTGGACTGTGTCCCTCGCAAGACTGTGACATTCCCAGCATCATCCTCAGTGCCCCAGTCCTGTCCTGAAGATCTCACTGGTGTGTGTGTGTGTGTGTGTGTGTGTGTGTGTGTGTGTGTGTGTGTGTGTAGGTGGTTTTAGACTGCTTTGCTTTTCAAAATGTATTTATAGCTTTCTTTCTGTGCGCTACATCACATGTTGGGTGTGGGGAGTGAGACAAAAATAATCTCAGTGCAAATCCTTGACCTTGTAAGATCTCTGGGGCCAGCATTCTCTTCCCATCAGAGTCTCTGGGGAACTTCAGAAGTGTTCAGGTCCTAGGGGTGCTCACAGCTCTGTGGGCCCTACGATGGGGTAGATCCCAGAAGTCTGTATGTCCAGAGGGCCCCACACTTCTTTCTTGCCCACGCATCCTGTATCTCATAGACTCAGTACTTTGTACTTGGGTATCACTGCATTGAGATGGGTTCCATTCTGAGCACAGAACACTGTCCCTAGAAGGGGCTGAGTGACATTATGCTCAAGACAACATTGCCCCTGCTTACATTACACACAGGGTTAATGCTTAAATTCTCACATTGATCTTGTATTCACCGAGAAATACACATAACTCTCCCAGGATTAATGAAGACCATAAGATCACCTCCAAAGTCCATGTGGGATGTTCACAGGTTCGGTTTCAGGAGGAAATTTGGATTCCAGAAAGGATGTTGAAATGAGAAGCTCACAACAGTCATTGTGTGTGTATGCGCGTGCATGCATGCACGCACATGCATGTGTGTGAGAGACAAAGTTTGCACACCCCTGTAAAGAGAAAAGTTGGAATAACTAATATAAGACCCCTCTCAGCAGATAAACAAAGACAAATAGAAATGGAGTGAACTGACAGACAGATGTGAGGAAATCGCCCGGAATTCAACAGAGAGATAAAAAGCCGTGTGGAAAGGAGTCCTCTAGACTGCATCATCAGGAGAGATCTGAGGCCGTGACATTTGAGCTGAAATCCCAGTGACAAAAGAGACCTGGCCATGGAGAGAAACAAGGCAAAGGGTCCCAGGCATCAGTGTGCAAAGGCCCTCTGGTGGAATGGAATCAAGTGCCTGAAGGACAGAGAGAAGGATCTGTGGTCCCACTGTGTGACAAGTGGCTGTAGGAAGAGGAAACAAGCTTGGACACGGACCGACAGGATTTGCTCCAGCTGAGGGCCCAGGACTTTTGAACAGTGAGAGCTGACTACTTGCCTACGGGCTGACATGTTCCTCACTAGCTTTCTCACTCACCCACCCACTCACTCTTTTTCCTATTCATTCACTCATTCATTCCCTCCCTCCCTCATTCATCTGTTCCTTATTAAATACCTACTACGTACCTAATGTGTGCTCTAGGCCATGGTCAATGGTGAGATAAGCAAAGTCCAGGTACTTTTGCCCTTGAGGGCCACTGGCTGAGCCAACTGTAATGGGTAGTGGGGAGGGGGAGAAAAAAAGGACCTGAAAGAGCCACCTGAGATGGCAGATGGAAGTCTGTGAAAAGGAGAGAGCGTCCTACATGGTGGCTGTGAATGTCAGGAGGACTTGTACTTTGGGGTAAACACTGATCCAGGGACATCTGAGGTTCCACCAAACCTTGAGGTGTGGTGATTCAGTACAGCAAGACAGCACCCCAAGCTTGGACATGAGACCAACCTTCAGCCTCAGGGCATCATCAGAAGGAGGGAGCATCTGTGTGAGCAGACCATGGTAGAGGCTCAGGCAGGAAGGCAACCACACAATGCGGAGGGAGAAGCCCTGGGGTACTAGGAAATGAGGCCAAAAATGGGGACAGTAATCTATGCCCTACTTAGTACCAGACCCTTGTGAAGACAGCTCCTTCACAAGAGAATGCAGCCTGACAGGAGACTGGCATAGATGCCTGCCCTTGCCACCATTTGCTCCACCAGACCACAAGGTCATGAATCTCAATGGGGACGCATGGGGTGGCCTTGTCACCGGCCTCTCTCAGGCTTTTCTCACCACAATACTCAAATGAAAACCCCAGCAGACCTGAGCTGCTGACCGGTGGAAAACAGCCAGGAGCTCACATCTGGAATCCCAGGATTTCAGAGGGTGAGGCGGGAGGTGTGCCTTGAGTTCAAGGATAGCTTGGCCTAAATGGTGAGTTCCAGGCCATTCTGAGCTACATTATGAGACCTTGTCTCAGAAACAATGAAAGGAAAGGAAAAAGAAAGAAAGGAAGGCAGGGAGAGAGGAAAAGGGGGGATGAGGAAAGGAAAAAAGGGGGAGGGGAGAAGGGAAGAGGGAGGGAGGAAGAGGAGGAGGAGGGAGGAAGAGGAGGAGGGAGGAAAAGGGGGGATGAGGAAAGGAAAAAGGGGGGAGGGGAGAAGGGAAGGAGGAGGGAGGAAGAGGAGGAGGAGGAGGGAGGAAAAGGGGGGATGAGGAAAGGAAAAAAGGGGAGGGGAGAAGGGAAGAGGGAGGGAGGAAGAGGAGGAGGAGGAGGGAGGAAAAGGGGGGATGAGGAAAGGAAAAAGGGGGGAGGGGAGAAGGGAAGGAGGAGGGAGGAAGGGAAGAGGGAGGGAGGAAGAGGAGGGAGAAAAGAGAGAAGGGAGGGAGGGAAGGAGGAGGGAGGAAGGGAAGGAAAG